GTGAACGTTGATGACGAACAACCGTACAGTAATACTAACGCCTATTAGTTGGAAACAAGACCAGTTTTTCTATATTAGTTAATTATTAAGCCTATTAGTTAGAAACAAGAACAGAGTTTTTCTATATTAGTTAATTATTAAGCCTATTAGTTAGAAACAAGAACAAAGTTTTTCTATATTAGTTAGTTATTAAGCCTATTAGTTAGAAACAAGAACAGAGTTTTTCTATATTAGTTAGTTATTAAGCCTATTAGTTAGAAACAAAAACAGTTTTTCGATATTAGTTATTAAGCCTATTAGTCAAAAGCTCACGCAAGCCTATGCCCTCTCCTTACCCCCAATATCCAGGTTCAAATAATGTCATGTACTTTATAAAGTTGATGACTGAAGGTATTAATTTGGCCATTGATCAATAGGTTCCAACGTCTGAAACCATTTTTAGCTCCTTCGTAGCTGCCAAGTGACCATATGTTGAACTATTTTTAAATTTATCTTCCTAAGCGGCCTAGTTCCCTAATACTTGACTCTGTGTAACTTAAACACTTTAAATACGTATTAATTAATATAGTATATAATGTAATTCTAAATCGTTCTTGATTTTTCACTTGCGCTAAGTTTTCCAACTCTAACAACGAGTTTAAATCACAAAAAATTAATTCGCCAAAAAAAGAAGTTGGTCAGGAACACTTAGGATTAGGAATAAGTTATTGTATTGTAATTAGGGTTAGTTTCTTTAATCAATTAAACAATAATTTAGAATTAGATAAAACAGGAAAAAATGCATTTCAAGTAACTTTAAATAGTAATAATTCTGTCTTAAAGTTGTGTGTATATATATATATATATATATATACATACATACATGCATGCATATATAAACTCTTTATACAATATGTGTATGTTTGCGTCTCAACGAAGCTAGTATAACAGCCACAGCGATCCCTACTACTAAGATGATACTGATAGCCATAACACCCATAAACAACGCCCTCTTCCGTCGTTTTCGTAAATATTGGTTCCGTAGAAAAGTCTGCCAGGTGTCCACATCACATGGGTAGTTTCTCAGAAAGTCTTCCGGCTGGAAAAGAAGAAAAGCCAGTTAATAAAACAGTCTTTGCTCTGTTGTTATATTATAAATTCCATTTTTTAGCTCTCTTATCAAAACTTGTATATAAAATAACTTTTATGTACTCTGAATTTAGTAATTGAACTAAAAATCATATCTTACAAATTAATTTCGAAAATTTCTGTTTGTTTCTAGAGCAAAGCCAAATTAGGCTATTTACTGGTCCACCGTGGAAATCGAACCTCGGATTTTAGCGTTGTAATTCCGTAACATACCGTTGTCTCACCGGCGGACGTTTCTCTGAGTCTTTAAACTTTAAAAAGAAATGAGTGACTTTATTATCATTCTAAGCTAGCCATTTCTTGCACAGGGGTCCAAATTACTAGAAAGAGGCACTTAAAAACACAATGATATTACTTTGAAGAACATGTATATAAAAAATTCAATTTTCATAGCATTTTAATTTTTATCTAAACGTTCGACTTTCAAACCAAAAATTACACAATCTAAATTAAAGCTTCTTGATATATCACGTTGTCTGTTGTTCCTTCTTCTGAAAATATAAACAGGTTCTGATGAGATCCAGAATATCCTACATAGAACTGACCATGTGAAAAGCAGGGCTGCTTTAGGAACAATCCAGCTACTTTTAAACTTTGGCCTTGTGCCTTATTAATTGACATTGTAACTGGGAATTGGAGCCTTCTAAATTCAAAGTGTAATTATTGTAATTAAGACATCTTTACCCGTGGCATGACCAGTTGTAATTGTTGATTCAATAACACGTGGCAGTAACGTCTTAACAACTAAACTTGTACCAGGACATAATTTTGGAGGATTAAGAGTTTTCAGTAACATTATCGGTGAACCAACCTTTAATTTCAGAATGTGACCTGCCATACCTGGAATTCAGTTCGGTAATTTAAAGCATCAACTGGAACACTGACAATTAAACAGGAGATGAATTTCAGTCCAGGAACCTTTTACAGTAATTAATCATTCATGTCATGAACAGTATCATTTCGAGGTGCAAGAATTTTTTTTTTTTTTTTTTTACACAACCACTAATAATGTTGACAAATATTATGGAACATTTTTTTTCCTTTAGTTCTTCTGCACCCTCAAATAAGTTATCACATTTGTCTGGAATAGTAATGAAGTTGATTGACTGATTGGAAACTTTCCATCACTGACTTAAGAAGAAGTTTCTGAATTCAACCGTTTGATCTTATATTACCGAAGTTTTTAAAAAAGGAGAAAATAAACCACAAATTAACATGTACATTACGCGTTCAACATAAACAACATTGTTGGCCTAAGAACAACATCGTGATAGTTTTGTTGAGTATTACCAAAAGGGGTGTGACAGAAACTGAATTAAAAGCGAAAAATTAATTTTTGTGGGAAACCTGGTGGAAATTTTGCCCCTTTATGTTACTTCTGGGGACCGTAGGAGTCACGATGCCAAGTTTGGTGGTGATTGGGCAAATAGTGTGGAGGAGTTAGCGGACAGACGTACAATTTCGCTTTTAGAGAATTGAGTTTAAATAATTTCAAATTAACATGAAATAGATAATTACGACAAAAGCTTCAATATTGAAAACGTTCATCAATAGGATATCACAATGACGAGAAAAAGGCTCATTTCTTAACCCTACTAAATTGTATACAATTAATAAAATTGCCTGGTGGTTAGGGTCGCAATCTGTCGTGGTTGTCTTAACTAGCTGCCTTCCCTCTGTCTTACACTGCTAAATTAGGAACGGCTAGCGCAAATAGCCCTCCAGTAGCTTTGCGCGAAATTCAAAAAACAAACAATTAAATGACATAGTATAATTTTACTTAACAATTTATGATACTTGTATCAGTCTTTGTTTGTTTTTAAATTAAAATACCGTACAAGGGCTATAAATACTCAGATAAAATAGAGAGTTAAAAGTTCTTTACTGACGTTTCCAGTTCCGTTAATTTGTGTTTCAATATAGTTTCTTTTTTTAAATTTGAATACAGAAGAATGCATACTATAACTTAATTTCCTTAATCGCAATGCTAAACGAGTTTACCTGTGCTTGATGGATCTGGAGATCGGGTTGGAATCTTCCGTAACCCATGAATTCTAAAGAGGTCAACATACTTCCATTTTCGTCAGCAGACACAGAATCCGGTTGAAGTCTAGAAGGATTTAGGAGAACAGGCTCGGTGTCTATTCTTGAGCCAGAAGCACTATTTTTATCTTGTTCTGGATCATCATTATGCTGGCCTTCTGTTTTCTGCAAATCCTCAGCAAACGTTACACGGCGTTGATGGAAATAACGGTCACTGTGTTGTTGACACGTGCACTGAAGAAGTGAATCGTTCCAATGACTCCTACCTCTGATCGAACCTCGAGAACTACCATCAATCCTGTCTTTATGTACGCCTGGTTCTTGTCCTACTTTATTATTCCAGCGATTATTGTGATGGTTTTCATACAAGGTCCTGTCTTGGTCAGTATGATCACCCACTTTTTCCACGTGTAGAAAAGATTCAACTGATGACCCTTCAGGGGAATGTCTTGAATGTTTCTTCATGTGATCCATCGAACTGGTCAACCTGGATCCATCTGGTGGAACTCTAAAATTTCGTTGTCTGCGAGCGTTTGATGCCATAGATTTATTTCTACACATTATACAGAAGTATTCAGAAAACCGTTTCTGACAATTTTGACATTGTTCCGAACCTTCTGGTCGTTGCCGAACTCCAGATTTTTGAAGATACTTATAGTACTCCTCGTATTTTTTGGTTTCTTGCTCCTTCTTTTGAGCTTCACATCTTTTACATAGGTCTGAAGTAGTTTTGGGGCGAATTTGCCTAGAGTTCTCTTCTTCCCTCGATTCTTGAAACAGACCTTGGTTTATTGTTCGGCCATCGACATAACTAAATCCAGAAGAAGAAATTCCAGAATTGGCACTGTCCGAAAATCTGATGTCTCTTTTCTTGACTTCAGAAATCAAGGTTTGAACTGCCGGTTCATTTTGTGTAACTTGATCACAAAACGGACAGCCTGATAAACAGTCACTGGAACTACTATTGTTTGACGTTGATTTAGGAACTGAAGTTGCTTTCTCTGAAGTCAAGCCATTATTGTTTCTCTCTTGTGTTTGGCCAATTGTTTCATCTTCGTTATTAATACCATGTTTTGTAAATTCATTTGCATCTTCCATAAGCTCTGGATTGTCTGTATGCAACGCTTTTGGTTCACGATAAGAACTTTTTGTTAATTGTATACATGAGCTACGTTGCTGGACTTCAGAATTACTCATTATTAGTCCAGTCTGTACTTCTTTGTCAGTGATACTTTTTAATGCCGCCCCAGAACTTACTGTTTGATTAGTGAGTTGCTCGGTAGTTTTAGAAAAAGCTTGCAGACTTTCATCTGAGCTTTTATGTTTTGACTTAGGAACAGTTTCTGTTTCTAGGTTTTTATTCCGATCCTGTCTTTTTTTCTGTAATTTTTTATCAGCACCTTTGGTATTTATGGCATTTTCTGGTTCTTTCGTCTCAGATTGTGGTGTTGGAGTCGCGATTTTGTTGTTAACGGTTTGCGGCTCACTTGACTTCGCTTGTTGCTGTCCTTCTCTTACTCTGTCTAAGAAAGAATAGAGAAAACTCTCAACATTTTCACTCTTCGTGGAAAGAGATTGAGTGTGCTTTTGTCCAGTTAAGTTGATGGATTCCGCTACGGGCGTTTCGCGTGTATCTCGATGACGTGAATGTATCAATTCACTAGCAGTGTCTGTCGCTGCTATTTTCATATTCTCTTCACTTTGTGAGATAGAAGTAGCTGTCTGTACACCACTGTCTTCAGTTTCGGACGAAACGGGCCCTTGAGACCCAGAAGAGCTTCCATTTCTTTCGCTTTTAGAACATAAGCGCTTGTAAGCGTTCTTAATTTGGCTACTAAACGAATTGTTTGTGACATTTTTATTCAACGGCGACTTTGTGGAGACATCGACTCCATCCACGTCAGGAGCCATCTCCTGAGTGAAAGGTAGGGAGATTTTCCGATGGAGAAAAGAAGGGGCGTTATGAATCTCGGCAAAAGTCCTTGTAATTTGGTAGGATAACCTAGGAGAATTGGAGCCACAAGTGAGGCACTCCCATCCATTTACGTCATCCAAATTTGAGATTAAATTAGAATCTCCGGACTGATAGCTATTCACATCATCACATCCAGAGTCCTTATAAAGGGGGTTCACGCGGCTGACGGTGTAGATTTCTTGGCAAGGCGAAAACCCTGAAGACAAGTCTTTACAGTATAAGGGGTCGTCAGTTACAATGTACGGCGCCCTCTGGCGATGTGTTTGCCAATAATTCAACAGGTGCTTCAGCATTTCGAGGTCGAAACAAACGACCTTTGATCGGATTTCTGAAATGTATAATACAATATGTATATATACGATGTTTTACGTTACACATAAAATATTCTATGATGAAAAAACTTGTAAAATGTTCAATATTATACGTATCCACTCAGGGTTGTTGATGTTTTACGTTACACATAAAATATTCTATGATGAAAAAACTGTAAAATGTTCAATATTATACGTAGCCACTCAGGGTTGTTGATGTTTTACGTTACACATAAAATATTCTATGATGAAAAAACTGTAAAATGTTCAATATTATACGTATCCACTCAGGGTTGTTGATGTTTTACGTTACACATAAAATATTCTATGATGAAAAAACTGTAA